ATGCCCAAAGACATCCAGCTGGCCCGTCGCATCCGTGGAGAGCGTGCTTAAAATGTTTTTTGATTTATAAGCTGTCTTCTGGTTTCCCTTCTTCTATACTTAGTAGTTCGGTTTGAGGTTCTAGATACATATAAATATATAAATCAAATGATTGTGATAAGCGTAAATGTGTAATTATGTATTCTATGGTGCTACTAGTAGCAGATTTTCCATCGCAGTATCTTCATGTGTGTTTCAAAGTTTGAATCAGTCACACTCGTACGTTTTACCTTGTTACCTCGATGGGTAAGGTGTTTTGTAGAGGGGTGAACTGTGTATGATCAGAAACAGGCATGGGTGTTAGGGTAACGTTTTCATCTTAAGAACACATTGATATGACGAATTTGATTTTCTTTCTTTAAAAATAGAAATCTGTTGTAAAAGTACAGATTTTTTTTTACAATAATGGTGTATTTCTACTGTTACTGTTCTATGTATCAAAACAGAAAAGCTGGTTGTCAGCTGGAGACGCCCTGCATGGTTAGACGGCATAGATGTAGCAGTGTTAAGCATGTTGTAATTCACAGCCATGGTGTTATGTCCAGGTAATTTTATTTTTTTCCTCTCTCAGGTGGATATAACCTTTTTTTTTTTCTACTGTGTTTATGATTTTATGTTTTTCGGACATTTTTAAAAGCAGAATATTTGTACTTTTGACCTCACGTTCAGGCATAATAAAGTTTCTTGTGGATTAAAGAACTGTGTGAGCAAAGGAGGAAAAGTCAAGTCACTGAACACACATTTTCAATAAATACAATCTTTTGTACCGTAATTTAAAGTTTTATATCACACGGGTCAACATGAAGCATTCAGCTTTTTAAAGACAAGCAGGTGTATCAAAAATATTTTTAACAGTAATTGTTTATAAAAATGTTTCACATAATTATAAATCCAAACAACAGTTTGTGTAATAAAATTGCATACGAATTCTAGATTATTTACAAATAACACAATTTTGACCTTTAATATATATATATTAGGTTCTGAGTTGCGGAGCTTAAAACTTGTTGCGTAAATGTTATTTCCTCCCTCTGAGCAGCCGCAGCTCGCGTATGAATTCACTTAATTTTATTAAACTGAAGCAGCGACTGGTTAAATCTACAGTAAAGTGTAGCGGGACGCAGCCGCCGCGTGGCACTCCTCTGTCGGCTGTGATGTGAGCCGTGGTGCGTTCACGGACACATGATTGACGCGGCGGCCATTTTCCCGCTGGACGCTGCTCTCCTTCATTGTGGGAAACGAACAAAAACAGAGCAGCGAAACGTAGCTGACGACTTCTTCTCAGTCGAACCCTCGGTAAGCCCCTTAAACGTGCCTTTGAGTGTCTGTAAATAAACTTTTCATTTTCTCAACTGTTATTTTTACAATCTCGTGCTGTTTTTGCTGTGATAAAGCTGTCATTTAGTCGCGTGGGTTATTACACGGTAGTCGAAGCGGAGGTGAAACGCAGCCTTCTCTCCGCAGCTGCTCGGAGAAGCGAAAATACACTTTCAAATTATTCGCCGGTTTAGATCAGATAAACGACGCTGCTACGGACCACTGGGCTCCTATAACTTATTTTAAATGTCTTCTGTGTTGTTGTTTAAGTTTCCGATACGCTGGTACAGCGGTTTTCCGTGAAATTGAAGTTGTTTATGCGCTACTCGTTCGCCGTTCTGCCCTCGGTCTTTATCCCGCTTGCGCATCAAACCGCCGCCATCATCAGAGCGAGGTGGGCGGACCGAGCAATAGAGGAAAGCTGCCATAGATCCCGCCCCTTTCGTAGATTCTGCATGTTGATTGGCTCACACATTATTATTTTTAGACGGGTCTTGCCTAATAGCCAATAGTATCGCAATTTCTTTTTGATTGACGTTTTTTGTGTTGATGTTATCAGCAGTGTTTATTTACACAAACATTAACGTAATGTAAGTCGCTGTTTATAACTTGATGGAAACTAAATGTATTTTAGACGGTAAAATATTATTAATGAAGTACCATTCGTCTACATCAATAATTAACGTAAATCTAGTACTTTTGCGTTGGAAAACAACAATATTTACATTATTATTGCCACAAAAGTTAATAATTTATTTCTGTATTTCGAGTTTGCAGGATAGCTAGAGCAAGACATCAGCTGACATCTGCAAACAAGTTTGACTTTGACAACATTCATAATCATGCTAACTGGATGCTCACTCAATGACTTTTTTCAAAATATTACATTTAACAAATTAATATATATATATATTATAAGTTTATCTTCTTGAACATTTGAAACCAAGAAGTGCAGCAGGTGGGAAGGAAGTGTGTTTGGGCTTTACATAGATTTGCAGAGGTGTTTGTATGTTTCATAAGGAAGTAAAACAATTACTTTTTTTTTGTTTTATTATCATCTTTTTTCATGTTTTATGGCTATAGCCCTAGAAAAAAAGTGGAATTGTAAAAGCTTGTTACGATATAAAAAATGATGTGAAACCTAAGCTGCTAAATTAATTTAATTCTTAACGTCATGTTTCTCAGTTGATCTACAACAGCCATGGCCCGTACTAAGCAGACAGCTCGTAAGTCAACTGGAGGCAAAGCTCCACGTAAGCAGCTGGCTACCAAGGCCGCTCGTAAAAGTGCCCCGTCCACTGGAGGGGTCAAGAAGCCCCATCGCTACAGGTGACACAGGGACAACCAGCTCCCAGACTCATATCTAACCTGCCTTTTGTGTTGACAAATCCAGTTCTGCATTTCCAGTATATTTTTAAAGTGTTTTCTTATGTAAAGGCCCGGCACCGTGGCTCTGCGTGAGATCCGTCGTTATCAGAAGTCCACTGAGCTTCTGATTCGCAAGCTGCCCTTCCAGCGTCTGGTGAGAGAGATCGCCCAGGACTTCAAGACCGACCTGCGTTTCCAGAGCGCAGCCATCGGGGCTCTGCAGGTCAGTGCCATGCAGGATGGTTTACTCTGACCCCGAGTCCAAGACCACCAGTTGCTCCCAGACCCTTTAGAGAGGCGCTCGTCTGAAATACAGAAGTTATTAATAGACGGCCCCCATTTCCGTAATTTGGGGAAATCAGAATTCGGCCGATACTTGCATGAGAAATCGATTTGACCGATTTTTTGTTTTAACAACTGTCTGAACTTCATTTATGTTTCAGAGCACTACCTCGTGGCTAGTTAAAGCAAGTTTGTATTGTTAACAGGTTGTATTGGAACAGGTCCAGATGACGTGATTTAGCCATTTTTGTTAATTCAGCACAGTTTTTCTGTGTCGGTATCGGATCGGTATCGAGCGTTGCTAAACAGTTGGTATCGGATTGGAAGTGGAAAAAGTGGATCGTTGCATCCCTTCTTTTAACACTGGTCTTTGAGTACTGCAGTTCTGTTTTACATGTTCTTTTATTAAAACGTCATAGCTAAAACGACGAGTCGGTCATTTTGTCTGAACTAACAGCTGATTCTTGTGTGTCCCCCCCCCCCCCCCCCTGCAGGAGGCCAGCGAGGCCTACCTGGTGGGTCTATTTGAGGACACCAACCTGTGCGCTATCCACGCCAAGCGTGTCACCATCATGCCCAAAGACATCCAGCTGGCCCGTCGCATCCGTGGAGAGCGTGCATAATCCATTTTCCCTCCGCTTCACCTTCTGCTCTTCCTTCACTATTCTACCTGTCCGTCCCCTCACAGCCCCCCCCCCCCCATGTTTAGTAGCATGTAGAAGAAAGCTGATTCTATTCTAATGAAAGTGTGTAGTTGTGTTTCCTTAGTGCTCATACAGCAGACTCTTAGGATGCAGTCTCTCTTTCTGTGCGTGTCCCGACTCTGTGGTGACAGATCCTCCTCAGGGAGTGGATGTTTGACATGTGCTCCAACAGCAGTAGAAGAGGGTGGGTATTTTTCTGCTGGGGGGGTGTTCTCTGCAGCAGGGTGCTAGAAGAACTCGCCCACTCCTCTGCTGCTTCGTACCATCTGCCAGCCTTTGCTCAGAGAAGAGCAGAACCGTGAGTGTCGGCTCTGATCACCTCAGTCAATGAAACTCGGCACATCAGCATCTTTGCTCGTCGTATCGATCATTTTGTTTGTATCATGTTAGATTTTTTTAAACGAGTCTCATGTTGTTTCTTACCTCAGACTGTTAGTGGCTGACAGACACGGAGGGATGAATCCGCTTAAAACAGAACAAAATGGCAGGTTTAACTTCATCTTTTCTACTGGAATGTGCCGCTGACTCGTCCTGATACCAAAGTTTGATCCTGTCTCCCGGCGCTCGTTTCCCAACACGCCCAATGGTTCCACCTTACCGTTGTCGTGTTGTTCAAATTGGCGTCGTGTAAATTTTTTAAAAGCCAAAGCAGCATGGTGTCGGACATTTTTAGTAGCCGTGGCTCTTTGTTTTTTTTTAAAAAATGAGACCTTTTTTTTTATAGAAAAGGTTTGTAATACTCGCTTGAATCTAAAGTTCTCAGTCTAAAAAAAACGTTTTCTACATTTTAATTGAATTATGAAATGTGTTAAATCAGTGTGACACAATAATGATGTTTTTTTTTATAACCCCTCCTGCTTCTGTCTGGTCCGTCTGAAACAGCTGATCTGTTCTCCGTTTCTCAGGTTGAATTCTTACCTGTTACACTTTTCATTTCCAGCTCAATCCTCTTTTTTTAAACTTTTTTTTCTTTTTTGAAATGTTGAATAAAATGTTTCAGTTAAAACAATGTTTGTAATCTCCGGATTTGTCATATAAGGTGGTAATAAATGGATGTTACACACACGCGTCTGAACTTTTACTCTCAGCCTTCTTTTCTTGCTTTTCGTGTTTTTAAGCATCCTTCAAAGGCGGCCACAGTATCGTATATTCTTAACATCTGTAAACGTTCTCTTTTCTCCAACAACTTCTGATCTGCTCAAGACAAGTTAACTAAACTTCATTCACGTTTAAAGGATGCACAAGAGCGTGTCGTCGATCCTTATTGCTCCGAGGTCAATGGTTAAGGTCTTGTCGGGGCCGTTGCTACAAACTGCTGTACAGTATAATTGTTGACGAGCATAAAATGTTGCACATGCGGTGTATTCTTATTAAATTAGCAAAAATCACAGGTAAAATTGTGAAACAGACCTAATAAAGTATTGTTTGTTTCTTTGGGTAAATTGACAGTATGTTGGTTTTAGGACCAACGTTTAGCCAACTTCAGTAAATCTTTTTTTTTTTTTTTTTTTTTTTTTTTTTAGCCTTTATTTATCCAGGTTAGTCTCATTGAGCCACGAGAACTCATTTTCAAGAGAGACCTGTTTTTTTAGGGAGCACATGGTGGGGGTTAAGGGCCTTGCTCATGGGCCCAGAGTGGGGCGAATGAGGGTGGGGGCAAGTGTGTGTGTTTCACCTACCCCACCCACAATTTTGATGTTGTCGGGGCCGGGGCGTGAACCGGCGATCTTCGGATCACAAGCCCACCTCTCTAACCTCTGCGCCACCACTCCCCACAATTTTATTAGTCCTTAAGTGTTGTGATCAAAACAATTCATGTTAAAAAAAGTGCTAAAATAAACTTAGACTTGAAGCTCTTTATAAAGTAATCACAGATGTATTTGTTAGACAGTTTCTCAGGCTTTAGCATTCTCTAAGCTTTATAACTAGATGTTAGGAGTTTATTTAATGATGTCAAACTGCTGATAAAAACGTGAGAAACTCATCTTGATTACAGCAGGGGTGTTACAATCGTTCACAGAAGGGGGCCAAAATTAAAAACTTGGTTCAAACCAAGGGCCAGTATCAGTCAATGCATTACCTCAAGTCGATATCTGACGTCTTGGTTGCAGGTTCCTCAGCAAGAGTTTGATCGTTCATTCAAGATCAAAGACTGCAGGAATATTCTGTTTTTTATTACTTTGGACTTGGCCAACTGTGATAAGAAGTCTGCACTACATAAAGCATGCTCAGTTTTTAATCAAAAGTTTAATCGATACAAGTATTTTTTATTTAAATTTTGTCTTTGGGGGCCAGAGAAGATGTTTGCAAAGGCCAGGTTTGACTCTCAGCCCTTGGATTTGACACATGTTTTAAAGTTTGGAATCAAAGCGATTTTATGGAAGAACCATTTGTCCCACCATATTTTAATATTAAAGCTTTTAAATGTAAAAAAAAAAATGCAATAAAACTACCATTTGTTGTTGTTTGCTTCTATCACTAGGTGGCAGTAAAGCTCAGGTAAATATTAAACCTCTCAGACTCCTTGCTGACTGTTCAAGTTCAAGAATCTTTATTATCCCCAAGGTGCAACTTGTTTCAGTCAGTAGGCAAACAAAACGTCCATATTAGACAAGACAAGGAGACATTAAAATAACAGTACATGAAATCATCATTGTTCATTGAGAAGCCTGATCACTGCAGGCATGAATGAGTGTTTCAGTTTGTTTGTTCTACATCTGGGCAGCAGGTTCCTGCGTCTAGATGGAAGCAACCTGAACTCACCATGGAGTGGTGATCAGGATCTGCCAGAATCAGCCTGACCTTGTTCACTGACCTCACCTTGTGTAGGTCAGTGAGGTTCTGTAGAGCTGTACCAGCAGTTTTGCTGCACATCCTGACAGTCCCCGAGAGTTTGTTCCTGTTCTTACATGTTAACAATCCAAACCAACAGATGAAGGTGAAAGTTAAAGAGACTCAATAAAACATTCTCATAAAAGTCGAATCAACATTAAAACCACAGAGCTTCCAATAAAAATACATCTTCTGGTGGACCTTCTTACAAAGTGAGTTCACATGGGGGTCAAAGGTCAGTTTGTCATCAAGAACAGTTTCCAGATATTTATATTGATGCACCACCTCAACAGCTTCACTGTTAATGACCACAGGAGCTGCAGCTGAAGAGCTGATCTAATCTGTAGGTTTTTTTTACTTTATGGTCTGTATGTTAAATTTATAAATAATGAATATTTACCAAACTGTCATGCATTACAGTAAAAGCCCAGAAACCAAGGGTTGGACTTCATTTATATTTAGGCAGAGAGTGGTCAATATATTAACAGAATCTGTCAAACCTTTGATTCCTGAAATATTGTTGGCTCTTACTTTAAAAGGGTTCCAGTGCATAAACAATAACTAAAGTTTTAATCTTCACCTGTTCTTCGTCTGTTTCCGTCACAAGCTCTGATTAGCTTCTCCGGCAGGTCTGGAAAAACAAAAAGTTAATTAAAACATGGCTCAGTGGGAAACACTCTGATTTCTGGTTACAATGCATTTTATGACATGGGCAAATTTCAAAGTTCCAACATGCACAACAAGGAGGTTTTGGTGGAACCAGTGAAACCAACACAGTGCTCGTTGGAGCTCAGACTTCACAACAGAAGCAAATTTCAAAGTTTAAACTGGTCACTGAAATTTAGGCTGGACTAGTATCGTAATATCTTTTTGACACAAGATTTTACCACAATCTGTTCAACTCATATTTTAATGATCTTGTATTTAACTCTTTTAGGTTGTCCGTTTCTTTTAGTTTTTATAAATCTGACACTTCTTTTACCGTTTGTGCATCAAATCAAAGACATTTTTCTTTTTAGTGTGTTTTTCCTCATAGGGCTCACAGTTTTCCATCAAATCCACCCAGAGTGTAAACTCCACACACAAAACTCTCCTTGAATTAAAGCTCAGAATTTTCTCTTTGAAACAAGAAGTGGAGACTTTAATTTGTTATACCTCCAACTTAAATTACTGCAGACAAGTTTTTATTTACCTTACAGTTCGCCTGCTGCCTGACTGTCCTATATAGAGTGATGTCAGGGAGTGAGATGGTTACGTGGTTACTATGGTGACACCAAAGAGCCAGTTTATTAAAAGTCCACATTTTGTCAGTTTAGGTTTAAAGAAAAAAGTAAGTCCCATTGATGTTCATATTTCAGGAAACACCCTTTAAAATCACTTCAGGAGAGCTCTGGTCGATTAAAGATTGTGTACATGTTTTTTTTACGTCACCATCTTACACTTCTACTGGAATAAAGTTTTAAATTAAATCAAAATTGAACAGAAACACCGTCGCTCTCTGGATTGACATTCCCCTCATCAGTGTTTTATTCCATTTGTCTACTTCCTTGATTAAAAGAGATAAATCCACAGCCTCAGCATATTCATGTCAATAAAATAAACACACACACACACACACTGTGGCCTGAGCTTCATTTATTACAGTGAAACACACACTCAGACAAACAAGCATCTAATCAAACACCAACCTTTAATCTGTCACAGTGACTGTTGTTGACCTCCAGGGTTAGAAATGCTGAGACCAAAAAACACAGACAAGTAAACAATTTTATTTTGTAGGGAACAAGAAGTGGAAAGTCACAACGCCTGCGGGAAAGAACGGAGCAGAGGTTCATAATGTTTACAGGGTGGAAATCAACAAAAACAGATTAATTTGTATTATTATTTAGGAATGTTTTTTTTTTTCTTCTTCTTCTTCTTTTGCAACATTCCAGGTCAGGTCAGGTGACAAGTATTTGAGCGGTCAGGTAGTTGTTCAGGTGATTCACAGACAGGATCATTTGGAGGACATTCCAAAAACGTAGCTCCTAAGACAAAGGCAGGACACTCAGAGAATGGAATATACCAGGAAGCTGGTCGTGAAACGTTACAGAGGGACGCTAACGGTCCAACGAACAAAAGTGATTCAGCTCAGCCTTAAGTAGTGATGTTAATCAGCCCAGATCATCCAGTTGTGCTGCAGCTGCATAAATCAGGAAAACCTGAAACAGAAGAAGAAGAACCTGTAACAGATTAGAAATCTGACATAATCCTGTTGTTTTGATCAGACGTCACATCGGTTCAGGCTATATTACACCCACAAACAACCCACAGAGGTGTCTGATCCACAACACGACTGGTTCAGTGAGACACAATATATTTCATTCATTCGTTGTTAACCCTTATTTTAAGTCCTAGAAACATCTGAAATATGTATTTGTTTATTTTTCACCATTTGTACAAGTTTCATATAACGTGGTTGCAACAATCTCAATTTTAAATTTGGCACAAACATCACTAGTTTGATTTACATTTATTTTTCATGTTATCCGAATCAGAATCAGAATCAGAATCGCCTTTATTGTTATTGCACAGAAGCACAACGAAATTTAATTTCAGTACAGCCCGTTCAAAGAAACTCAAAAGTACAAAATAGAGTAGACGGGTGTCTGAGGCTGCAGCCTCATGAGAGGCGCTGCCTTGTTCGTTAGATAAGGAAAAGGAAACCTGAGGAAAGAGGAGGTAAAAAAATATATATGAACCTCAAACTGTGTCCCTAACAGGAAAAAAGCAACATACAGACAACATAATAATACAGGACAAAGAGCAGAAGCAGGGGAAGGACTGGGAGGAAAAAGTGTCCGCCTTCACCTATAGCGAGAAGGGAAGAAAAAAAACAGAAAAAAATTATATATATATATCCATCCATCCATCCATCCATTTTCTTCCGCTTATCCAGGGTCGGGTCGCGGGGGTAGCAGCTTAAGTAGGGAGGCCCAGACTTCCCTCTCCCCAGCCACTTGGGCCAGCTCCTCCGGGGGAATCCCGAGGCGTTCCCAGGCCAGCCGAGAAACATAGTCCCTCCAGCGTGTCCTGGGTCTTCCTCTAGGTCTCCTCCCGGTGGGACATGTCTGGAACACCTCACCAGGGAGGCGTCCAGGAGGCATCCTAAACAGATGCCTGAGTCACCTCAACTGGCTCCTCTCGATGTGGAGAAGCAGCGGCTCTACTCTGAGTCCCTCCCGGATGATCGA